TACAAGAGAAGTGGCGTCACGCTCCTGATTCGAGACGGCGTGGCAATGAACGCCCCCAGTCTAGTATTTGAAGCGGTGGTCTCCTGGTATTGTCTATGACCGCATACCGCGAAGATGGCTGGCAAAGGGCGTGAAATCAGCTGGGTTGATTATCATGTTAACGCTGGCACAGAGCCAGCAATGTCTGGAACTTCGAGAAACTCGTTCGAACACGCCATCCTCCCATGCCCAGCCTCCTTTGCTGCTACTGGAGAGGGTGGTTTTATTTCCGACCTTGCTTATGGTTTTTTTGCGTTTTCTCTTCATTTATGGTTTATATTACATCTCTACATTCATTTTCAAGAGCAGAAGCACCCCAAATCAATCCCGACCTTTGCCTTGGAGCAGCTGTGTAGCAGACAGTGTTGTTGTAGTTCATGATCTGTTTCTCAAGAGTCGACTCGGCTAGACAAGCTGCCCCAAACGTTCGTTAGTTCGTCCTTCGTTAGTTCGTTTGACGATTTTTGAAGAAGTAAGGACTACTCTTAGTGTAAGGGGTGTCCATAGCCCACATTTCTGTGACGAGTGCTTTGTCGATATCCCTGTAAGTAAAATGGCTTCCTTCCTCACAACCAGCCGCCTTCTCCCCTCCCCCTCCCCCACCATTTTACTTTCCTTATTATTCCTTTTTTTATTCCTTATCATTATCACCTTGATTTTTGTGGTTGTTTTGAGCTTGCTAATTTTATCATAGATGTCTGTTCTCTTCAGAGGCATTCAATGGAGCATAACCGGTTAACTACTACCGAAGCTCGTCTCCAGGAGGAACTTCATGTGGAGCAGGCTGTGCAAGATATCGTACGCCTCATTAAACAGGTAAATTGATTCTATCGATACCTCTTTCTTACTCTTGAACATACAATTTAGGACCCAAGAACTGCGCTTTTGATCGTTCAACTCCTTCGGAGGTATCAGCTGGAAAGAAACGTGAGTTCCTTCCCATAAAATTGAATTTTGCACGATGTAGAAAATATATAAAAAATATAAAAAAAATAGGATAGCATCGTGATCGAGCAGTAATGCATAATTAAATTCAGGCCGAGCAACAGCAAGCCAGTTCGCCGGACACCGATAAGGTAAGTAGTGTTCTTTGAGTGTGCAATCAAGCACAATTTCGCATTCATTTTTGGGCGCTCATGGCGGGGGGGGGGGGATGGGGAGGGTGGGACATAGAAACAGCGTCTCTGAATACCGCGATGAGGTGAGATCGGTTGCAAGCCCACGAGAGCGGAGGGACGCCAGGGAAAACAAAAATTGCTCACTTTCATCCCGAGAGTCCCTTCCCCTCCCTAAGGCTTACAATTAGTCCCAAGCAGGGTGAAAATCGCTTGAGGAAACGACAACGGCTCGTCGAGGATTTCTTTCACGCTCTCCCACGCGGATGCTCACTCTCGCCACCCGCGAGCCGTCTGTGCTCTCCGCGCATGCATTCACTCTCGACACTACTCTCGCACAGTAAAGAGCCATGGTCGAGCATTTTCCCGACCGCTATTCACCCTGGTCCCAAGTACTGCAACTGGT